CACAATATGAGCAAGTTACAGTGTCAGCCCACCCTATAGAGATGATTCCCAACGCATATACTAGGATCCAACTTATACAATATGAGCAAGTTACAGTGTCAGCCCACCCAATAGAGATGATTCCCAAAGCATATACTAGGATCCAACTTATACAATATGAACAAGTTACAAGGTCAGTCCACCCTATAGAGAAACGTCTCAATGCATAGACCAGGATTCAACCTATACAATATGAACAAGTTACAGGGTCAGTCCACCCTATAGAGATGATTCCCAAAGCATATACTGTACTAGGATTCAACCTATACAATATGAGAAAATTACAGTGTCAGTCCACCCAATAGAGATGATTCCCAAAGCATATACTAGGATTCAACTTATACAATATGAGCAAGTTACAGGGTCAGGCCACCCAATAGAGATGATTCCCAAAGCATATACTAGGATTCAACTTATACAATATGAGCAAGTTCCAGTGTCAGTCCACCCAATAGAGATGATTCCCAAAGCATATACCAGGATTCAGCCTATACAACATGAAAGTTCTGTCTGTTCCTGACACAACTGTTGCATTCTCATAAGTGTAAAGAATGTCAAAAATCCAGCAGGGAATGTAGGACACCCTCAAAATAGCCATAGCAGGTGTGAAGAGCCGGTTCTCACCAAAAGAGCCTCCAAAATATATAAGGAACATCACATGGCTGAACTCTCCAGCGTCTATCAAAAACTTGAACATTTTAATTTTGATAAATACCTGGTAGCAGAAGCAAATCAAAGCATTAGCATAGGAGTACATTCACCCGATCTTTGTAAATATGCTCTATTTGTACCGGGAAATATTGGTCCCTAGAAATATGCCTGAGCTGTTTTTTAATTTTGGCAAACTGCATAATACAGTCCTCCTTCTCTGTACATTAGCGTCAAATCCTGTGGAATAACATTTGTTATAATCCCGGTGACATGATATACTGAAGAAGTGACAGGCCTGATTTATTAAACTGCACCAAAGAATACTGAAGCAAAAGTGAAGCTTCTGCCAAGAGCATCCAATCAGATCTCATCTTTCAAATCAAAAAAGAAATGCTTTCCTCTGGGAACAGTTCCATTTTTTCCTCGCTCCTGTTTTCATTAATCACTCTGTTTCTGCGATTGGCTGAGAATCATTGGCTCAGAATACCGTGCCATATGTTGGGAGATTTAGCCCTGGAAACATTCCTGATTTTAAATATTGATCAAGTTCCCAATAAAATCCGTGTTCTTAGGAAGTTACATGCAGTTCTTATGATCAATGCATACTATCTAGTCTTTTAAAGGAGAACTATGGGGTAAGTGTTTTTCCCCCATAGTTCTCCTAAAGGTCACGGAAGGACACAAACTAGCATCCTCCCGTCACCCAAAGCTCAGAAAACCGCGAGCTACAGCTCCCGATATACTGAGACTGCTGCTGCCGGGATGGATCCCGACATTACTGTCGAGATCCACCCAGCTGCGTGATTGACAGCTGACTCTGCCTATTTAGAGGCAGAGCCAGCTGTCCCTGCCCCCTCCACCATCCGTTTCGCCAGTCAGCGCTGGAGGATCGGAGCGGGGAGAGGGGGAATCCCTGCAGGGAGCCGTGAGTGACAGTCACGGCTCTCTGCAGGGACAGGATCGAGAAGTGAGCGAGCGATGCTATGTGTTCGCTCACTTCCCGATCTATTGAGCCGATCTGTGAGTTTCATTGTCACACGTCGGCTCGAACTATGAGGCTGAGTGATTTTCACTCACCTCATACTTCTCCTTTAAGGACAATACTTTTTAAAGCCCAATTGAAGCCTCACATTTCTGTTTTATGGTCAGACAGCATAACGAGTAAGACGCCTTTCACATGGGCGCCGTCAGTTCCAATCAGTAGGGGATCCATGCCCATAGAGTAAAGCTGGCCATACACCTATAGATTATTTGTAGATTTTCTATGGTCAGATGGAAAAAGTGCAACAGATTCCACCATCTACGCTAAACTGTGTGGATTGAGGAATCTCCCACTGGGCCAAGCTTCAGCATCTTGCTAGTCGGCCCCTCTGGCTCTCAAAACACCTGAACAGTCTGATTGGATGCAGGCATTGCTCAGGTAGTTTGACAGCCAGCGGGGCCGACTAGCAAGATACTGAAGCTTGGCCCAATGAGAGTTCCCCCCATCCACACAGTTTAGCGTAGATGGAGGAACCTGTTGCACTTTTTCCATCTTGCCATAGGAAATCTGCAGAAAACCTATAGGTGTATGGCCAGCTTAACATTGGCCTTCCAATCATATCTGCCTAAAAAACTGACAGGTACACTTGATCGGACTGCCCATCGGAAAGGGGCCAGAGGAACATGGAATTATGATTTATTTTTTGATTCAGTGTGCTTAGAACTGTAGCGGTCTGACACTCACCTTGCACAGTGCTCCAATCAGTAACGATTACGCTCCCTGAGCAGTGCTCTTGATTGGAGCATTGTGTACGGGGAATTTTGGAGCACTGGAGGCCTGGACCACCATGCTTTCTGTATGAGCACTGCATGGGTCTAAGCACACACATACATTTATAAAATCAATAAATAATGCCATACCCTTTACTTGACGTGCAGCCTGACTACAGAGTAAGTAAAGAACATGAGGCTTCAGTTGGGTTTAAAAAAACAGCTTAAAAATGTACCCCGAAGGATTGCCCCAATTTAGATTCTCCAGATATCAACTGCAGAATCAAAGTGTTCCTGGGAAGTATTTTAAAATGTTGTCATGCACCCTGACTACATAAGAAGTGAAGAATGTGAGGCTTCAATTGGGTTTTAAAAAACTGCTTCAAAAATTTTACACACAAGTTTTGCCCCATCTAGTTTCTCTGACTACCAACTGTGGAATGAAATGTTCCTGGGAAGTATTTCAAAATGTTGCCCGTTGTGTAACCCAAACGTGTAAAGCATCTACCTCTTCAAGAGGTTGCCCCTTCCAAGGAACAAAAGGCTTTCAAGGAGCTCTTTTCTACTAGAACATTCCATGAAAGGTTCACACCACCAATTTGACGTGTATTTAAGTGCAGGGTCGATCACTGAGCAGATCAATGCAGCCTGCAACCAACAGCTTCTATTAAAAGCTCAAAAAGATAGAGACCCAGAAAGAGTTGGGGCACTTTGGTGGAAGACCAAGGTGGATATGCGGTATATTTATCATTGAGAACAAGCTGATCATTGTATATAAATAGCCTATAGATAGAAATGTCACTGAGCAGATAGTTACTTAAAAGGGCCAATATGCCCAAAGTGATATTTCAGGTTTTGGTGGATGCTGGTCAGCTAATGCATCCATCAGTTTCTTATATCTCTTGAGGACACTGGTGGTAAGAACTCTGCATTTGAGTTCATAGGCCCATGAGAAGTTCTCACTGTCCCTTTGGATTGTTCATTTATGTTTTGTTATGGAGATAACAGATAAAGAGTTAAAAAAACACAGTAGGCAGGAAGAACCCAGATGGGAGGCAATAATGCCAGGGACTATGGAAGAGGGGTCCCATACCTGGAACCCTTTAAGGTATCATAAGAACACATCAACTGTCTACAACTATAACGAAAATTTGGCACTTTTGGTATTTAAAAGTTCCCTCCAAAGAAAATAAGAGTACCATCAGCAGTTGGAACAAAACTGAATCTCTAACTCCAAAAATGTGACACTAAACTCAGGAGTTAAATCTTAAATATGCATTCAGGTACCTCAACTATTAACAACAATGTATCTTATTTGTGTATCACTCGGCTGTAGATCCTCAAATCATCTCTGTATTTGTGCTGACACTGCCCTTCCTTCTGGAGGAAGGCTACTTTTGTTCTCCATGGTCCCTGTGTGTGTTGTAAAGTAGTCACCGCTCCAAACTCACTCCTGTGATGGACTACAATCTCAATACAAATGAGCTAACTAGACATGAGATTGTAGTCCATCACGGGAGCGAGCTTGAAGCGGTGACTACTTTACAACACACACAGGAACCATGGAGAACAAAAGTAGCCCCCCTCCAGAAGGAAGGACAGTGTCAGCACCAATTCAGAGATGATTTGAGGATCTACAGCCGAGTGATACACAAATAAGATACATTTTTGTTAATAGTTAAGGTTATTGAATACATTTTTAAGATTGAATTTCTGAGTTAAGCGTCATTTTAAAGTTGAACTCCAGGATTGTTAAAATAACTACCCTTGCAGTCCCCTAACCCCGTCCCCTTCCTTTCCAAGTGTTAAATGCCTATTAAGTCTAATGGTGGACAAATAATACTTACCTTATACCTCACTCTGGCTGACTTTGGCGCTTAAGCGCCTCTCCTCTTGCTGGCATTCCAGGTTCCTCACTGCCCTCACTATTTGTCCTGATGATGTCAGGGTGCGACCCCTGAAGAGACATCGGGGGACCAGGCGCACAGCATGCAGGAAGCTTGCCGGTGCGAGCCTAGCCTAGACTTGATGGGCATTTAACCCTTGCAGTGGGTGGGATAGTTTTCTTTTTATATTCCCAGAGTTCAGCTTTAGTTTTTTTGTTTAACAAACATTTGTTTGTATGTAACCAGAAATCCTTGAGAGATAACACAAAGTAGTGTGCGATTCACCGACCCAACATATAGAAATAAAGAACATCAGAAGCTTTCATTGTGGGTGAAGTGACCCTTTAAGTGCCAGCCTCTAGTTGCTGAGCCCTGCACAGTCTGGCATGCATCATCTTTCCATAATAACTATACACAAGGGCACCCAGAGCAGGTCAGATGAAAGAGTCTGATGACTGGATGGCACAGAAGTTCAGTGTCAGCAGAAAGTGATAAAGTAATAGACAGTCTCCGGTTACTGCACAGCACATCATCAGCCCAGTGTGCACACACACACACAGGGGTCCCTCCACCCTCCGCCAACACTCAGGACAATGGATGGCACCACACAAAGCAATACAAAGTGACAGCAGATCCCACCACCAGCCACAGGACAGCAAGAGACAAACTTACAGCAAAGAGCCACAAAGTATCCCAGAAAGAAGAGGCGAGCCGACATCGTCCCAGAGACAGAGAGAGGAGAGCAGAGACAGGAGCGGAGTTCACATCCAGGGCAGCGCTACACTAATAAAGGCAACACACGCTGCAGAGGTCTACGGATCGGGGAGGTGTGAGCCGTGTATAGGGAGGAGGCGGCTCCGCAGCGCCCTCTACAGGATCCCCGCAACACTGCTCCGCACAATGGAAGCGGATTGTATCGGTGGGACCGAGCCAATCACATACTATGCTGCATGGGACAACCCATAGCTATCTGTGTCATTCTAAACTGATATCAAAGTCAAAAGGATATTAGGCTTTTTCAAATGTTGATGAAATCTCTTACAATGGATGCTGCCCCTTGATGTTTAAAAGTTTTCATACCCCGAGCACTGGTCCTGATATCCTGTTTCAGAGTGACTCCTTTCCCTTGCAGGGTCATATAGAGTCACCCTTGTGTCTACTAGTAAGATGTGTGCGGTCTCCACAAACACACAAGACTAGATCCATGAACTCATCGCACTCCTGACCGCTTGTCTCCAAAGGAAAGTCAAATGGGTGCTACGGTGATCGACGGACGGCAACCGTCATGTAACAGCAGGAAACAGGGACACCGGCACTCCAATGTTAGCGTAAAATGCAAAGTCTTTTTATTGAAGAAGATACGACGACCGTTTCGCGGTCACACAGGATCCCCTTCCTCAAGCAATCACATGTCATTGCTTGAGGAAGGGGATCTTGGGTGACCCCGAAACGGTCGTCGCATCTTTGTGACATGTCGTATCTTCTTCAATAAAAAGACTTTGCATTTACGCTAACATTGGAGTGCCGGTGTCCCTGTTTCCTGCTCCACACAGACACAGCAAGACAAGCCATCCCAACTCCCCGATCCCCTCTTTGTTCCTTTGAGCACCGGTCCTGATATCCTGTTTTAGGGTGGCTGCTTTTTCTTGCAGGGTCCTATAGAGTGCCCCTTGTGTCTACTAGTAAGATGTGTGCGTCTCCACAAACACACAGGCACAGCAAGGCAAGCCATCCAAAACGTGACAACCCATATCGCTTGTTAATGACACCCTAAACATGGCTGGGAAAACATGTGATATTCCAGCACTTTCAAACGTGCCATTTCCTTGTGCATTGAAATGCGCAAAAATGCGCGGCAAAATAAAACACAAAACGCATGTAGCAGATTTTTCTACATGAGCTACTTTTCCCACATTTGGTGCACCTGTGGCACCCATTGAAATCAATAGAGACGTGTGGCAAATTCAGAAAGGTAACACCTGCGCACATGTGGTGACACACATTCCCGCTATGCAATGGTGCGAAAAACGAATGCTGATGGATGGAAACTATAAAATGTATGGGCGTAAATGGGACCAGTTCACACGCCTGTGCTGCGTTGCAGTGCACTGAAAGAAAGCAAAGCATGTTCTACTTTTTTCAGCACAACGTGTGGAAAAACGCATGTAAACGAAAAGGACATGTTATTTAAAATAAAGATTGGCAAAAAAAAAGCACACAAAAAAGCATTGAATGTCAACAGAGTATGAAATTGCAAGTAAATTGACCTCCGTTGACTTCTCTTTTTAGGTCCGATTTTGGCGTGAATGGACCTTTGGTTCTTGTTCACACCTCAGCGTTTTGTAGCTCAAGGGGCTAAGCACTACAACGCTCAACCAAAGGAATTCCATTGTTCCAGTGTTTTCATTGGCCTCTAATCACATCTGAGAGTTCTGTTGTTTGTAGCAAAATGCCTGCCGCTGGAAAAAGTAAATAAGCTTCTTTTCTGTAGATATCAGCACTTTTGCCCCATTACATTGCAATGGAAAAGCGTATTTAAGCATTTTGTTGCTTTAAAGAAAAATACCGGGGAACAAAATGGGGGACAGCACAAGCTGAAAAACAAGCAACAAAGCACTTTGAAAAATGCGTGTTGATATAAAACACTCAAAAACACTTTAAAAAAACCATGTGATATGCTGACGCTTAGGTGTGAACCTGTCCTTAAATGTGATGGCTGCATTTGTTTTCTTTTTTCAGATGTTTTCCCTCTATTTTCCCCTGGTGATTCAGACAAAAAAGCTGGCTGTACAATGAGTGAATTTATCAAGAACAGCACGAAATTGGCTCATTGGGTGGTCCTATCTGATGGCTCATGCCTGACACCCTTCAGCTGAAGAATCCAAGGAGCCGGGCAGAAATTCCTGGACAAACTGCACCCCTCCCAACTGTCCCTCATTCGGGACCAAATCCCTCTATATTGTGTGTTGTGCTGTAAAATTAAAAGGAGAACTATGGGGTTAAGGCTTTTCCCCATAGTTCTCCTTAGGGTAACGGGAGGACACAAACTGGCGTCCTCCCGTCACCCTAGGCTCAGAGCTGCTGCTCGCGGTATACTGAGACGCCGCAGCTGAAGCGGATCCCGACAATTATGCCGGGATCCGCCCAGCTGCGTGACTGACAGCTGGCTCTGCCTATCTAGAGGCAGAGCCAGCTGTACCCGCCCCCTCCCCCGTCCGTTCCGCCAGTCAGCGCTGGCAGATCGGAGCGGGGAGGGGGGAATCCAGCCCCTCCCCTGTCACGGCAGAGAGCCGTGACAGGATCGAGAGGTGAGCGAACGCCAGTATGTGTTCGCTCACCTCCCGATCTACTGAGCCGACCTGTGACAGTCTCATTGTCACAGGTCGGCTAGAACTATGAGGTGAGTGAAAAGCACTCACCTCATAATTCTCCTTTAACTTGAATGCATTTTTGTGTTTGGGTTTTAAGTTTGATAAATTGATGCGCTAATATTGTGTGTCATACAAATTTACAACTGCCACCATTTAATTCTCTAGGGTCTCTGCCTAAAGAAAATATACCATTTTGGAGGACTTGAAGCAATTTCAGGCCTAAAATGTGCATTTTATCATGTAAGCAAAAAAAGGAAATTAATACAAAAACATTCTGGCAGCGAAAGGGTTATGCTTACATTTCATCAATTGTCTTTATTACCATCTGCAGCCAGGTCTCTGTCACCATGGACTATTGGTTGCCCATTGGTTATTATATTGTAGCAAAGTGAAGCAAGACTAATGTTGGGGTGCTTTTGTACACTTCAAATGGGTTTACTTGCCCCTCCCTTCTAGATTGTAAGCCCTCAGGGGCAGGGACCTCCTCACCATCTTGTTTTAAATTGTATTGTGATTGTAATGTCTTCCTTATATTGTAAAGCGCTGCGCAAACTGTTGGCGCTATATAAATCCTGAATAATAATAATATAAGTCCATAGGGATACAAAACCCATTGAATAAGGTCTAATGCAGGTCAGGACGAGGTTAACTACAGTCAAATGCACCTGTCTGCATTCCGAGTACTCTCAGAAGCATCTCATGCTAATATCAAACTGATCCCCAAAGCCCCTTGATACCGGCCTTCAATGTGTTTACAAAAAGGACAATTCCTAGGTTTATTCAAACACCAGATGTACATACAATAGAGGAAATAAAACCAAATGATTCACAGCGTCTGTGCATCCTTCGTCAGCATTGACATTAATTGTGAAATATCAGTACATAATGTCCCAACATATAACCAAGAAAAATTGAGTTCATTAAGCCAATGCCTAACCTGTTGAGTCCCACCCTTCTGACTTTATTGTTGAAATAGAGACAAGAAGGGGTCTATTTTTAACTGATGCACAGAGCCATTAGCTGTGAAAATTCTGTGTGAGCGGATGCACAAAACAAAGTTCTTCTTATATTTTCTTTATAGGACCAATGTATTTTTGAATATCACCTTGTACTATCAAATTATGGTCTACTACACGGGTGCCCATTAGGTAGATGGTGATCTACCAGTAGCTCTCAAAGCTGATGCTGGTAGATCACGAAGGGTGTGAATGGTGGCCCCTGTATTCCATTTTGGTATATTTATTTAGCTGTGCATACATGATTACCTATTAGCCTGAGCCTGCTGTGCCAAGCTCCCTGACACCTTTCTGGTGGATACTAGTGGGTGAAATGCTATGTATTCCATCAAAGAATATTAGTTTGCACAGCCTGTTGTACTGCACTGTTGGCAAAATACAGCAGGGTGAGCCAGGAGAGAGAGTGGGGAGAGACAGACAGGAGAGAGAGCAACAAGAGACAGCCAAGAGAGTGAAGAGAGACAGCCAGGAGAGAGCGAGGGAGGTTTTTTTTCCATTGGTAGATCTCCTGTAGCTCGTCATTTGAAAAGTAGATCTTATCACAAAAAATTGTGGGCACCCCTGGTCTACTAGATGCAGCTGAGGCCCATAGGAAACATGTATTTCCTCTTCAGCTCCATCTAGTGGCCATAATGCTGTATTGCACAATGACATTCAAAGATGCATTCGACTTACAAAGAAAATATACAAGAATATTTGTTTTGTGCATCCATTCACACAGAAGGAACATTCACAGAGATTCGTAGGGTCAATGGCTCTGTTAATTGGTTAAAAATAGACCTCTAAGTAATCCATAATTTAGTCCATGTCACGAGAACTTAGTCCATGTCACGAGAAGAAAAAAGATGTGCAATGGTCTATGTAAACGTGTATTTATAAAAAAAAAATATTAGGCCTTTTGAAAGTAATGGAAAGAAAATTAAACATATTTAGTATATCGTATATAACCCGCAGAACATGACAAGAAATTTTACGCTGCAGGATTTCAGTTTCCAGTACATTGGAATTGTCATCTTGCGATGAGAAGCCCCATACTTGCAAAATTTGTGGGCAGAAATGGCCTTTTGACCTTTTAAACAACACAGTCGATGTTCAGAATTAATCTCAGAGTGCAGTTTACAGGAAGCTGGAGATGGATTGACTATATGCTAGTATGGTGGAGAATTACTAGTAACATGTGTACAGTTAAATGTGAAGGCGTTCCTTTTTTATAGGTGTGATATTTCCTGTCCTTCAGCTCAGAGGATATAAAAGTTCTTGTGCAGAACAAGAAGAGAATGGCCGAACGCAGGAGGCACATGGAGCAGTGCCACTATGCCAGTCATTAGCAGATTCTCATTGCAGGTCTATACTGCAAAGATAGGGGACAAGACTTTTCTCACTTGGCCAC